GCCACATGAAGAGACATTAATTCACTCTGCACAACATCCTTTGAATGGCAAGCCCAGCTCTGAATGGAGAGATACATGATAGGGCTGAGCCACAAGGCATGGGACTTTCTTGGATATCCAAACCAGGATGGACAAAGGGAAACTGGTATTTGGGTCTCTTTGAACTGGCAGACCTATTTTAATGAGATGAGCACAGATAAGGCTAGTCTGATGTGAGACCAGATCTAGCTGGTCTCGCATCACTTTGTTTTAATGGTTTTTAACTGGGAATTTTTAAATACTGTTTATATTTAATTCTGTTTTCATGTTTAATCCTGCTTTATAACATTTGCATATTTATCTATTTTAAATTGTATGCTGATGCTTTTATGTTAAGCCGCTTTGAGTCTCCTGCAAGAGACATAAAGCAGGGTATAAATGAATAATAATAATAATAACAATATTTTTGTTGCTATTTCATAACTGTAATTTTTCTACTGTTTTGAATTGTAATGTAAATATCTAATATGTAGGATGTATTTTCATTCACCAGACCAAATTTGGCACAATACCCAATACGTCCAAATTTGAAAACTGGTGGGGTGGGGGGGGGGGGTGATTTTGTCATTTGGGAGTTGTAGTTGCTGGGATTTATAGTTAACCTACAGTCAAAGAGCATTCTGAACTCCACCAATGATGGAATTGAACCAAACTTGGCACACAGAACTCCCATGACTAACAGAAAATACTGGAAGAGTTTGGTGGGCATTGACCTTGAGTTTTGAAGTTGTATTTCACCTAAATCCAGAGAGCACTGTGGACTCAAACAATGACAGATCTGGACCAAACTTGGTACAAATACTCAATATGCCCAAATGTAAACACTGGTGGAGTTTGTGGAAAATAGACCTTGACATTTGGGAGTTGTAGTCACTGAAATTTATAGTTCACCTACAATCAAAGAGCATTCTGAACCCCAGCAATGATAGAATTGGGTCGTGCTTCCCACACAGAACCCCCACTTGAAGGGAATCACTCCCGCGAGCCTCCCTCTGGCCTCTCACACTCTCCTTCGCTCGCACATGCGCACCACACTGCCATGCACTAAACATGCCTGCTCTCCCCTCCCTGCTTGGATTCTCTGAAATAGCCCTCCCCTTGGCCAAGAGGCCAGCCAATCACAGTGGAGGAGGGCTTTTGGTGGGAGAATTTGCTGTCTGTTTCCAAAAAGGAAGAGAATGACAGACAGAGAGATCTTCAACCTTCTCTGCCAAAGAGGTTCCTAAGACCATCAGAAATACATGATTTCTGATGGTGTTTGGCAACCTCTCTGAAACCTCCTCGTGACCCCCCCCCCAGGGGTCCAGACCCCCAGGTTAAGAAACTGTTGTATATGATAGCCTACCCTTCTGTAGATGGTTGCTGTGGGGATCAAATGTGTGCTCTGGTTGGTTGAACATTAACTTTGGAATTGTTAATTGTGAAACTTCTTGGATGAGTTTTTGCCAGTCGTACTTTACACACTAACCTTCTGTAGAAAGTTACTATGGGGATAAAATAGCAAAAAAAAACTTCATTGGGGAAAAGGTAAAGAATGCTCATTATGGTGATGGTTACTATTGAGGGAAAGACCAGTCAGTCAGAGCTTTATGTACGAGTATCATTGAGGACATGTAGAAGATGTCAACTTTATACATAGAGGTTGTGCTTGTGTAATTAAATGTTTTAGAATGAAGAAGTCCATGGTTGTTGTTAGGAAACTCAATATTCCCACAATTCCTCCTCATAGTTGCAGTATAGAGATTAGTTTTCTGTAAGGATTACTGAGATAATTACTGAATATTTGAAAGTGCAATGTAAATATTGTTGTCCTTAGACATACTATGTGACTTTTGGAGGTTCAGTCCGGCATCTTATTTGGCTAATGTTTTGCCACTGTAAGAACTTTCATGCAGTGATTTGTTATGACCAAAGTAGACCCAATGTACAGTGATATATGTTAGTATCAATTGTGCTGCTATTTGAGTTGGTAATTCCATTTGGTTAATCTGTATGAGAACTTGGTTCAGAAGGCATATAGTTGAGATCATTCAGCTTACTTGTGTTATGTGTTAGCCAAGTTCAACAAATGAAACATGACTGCTAGGTTTCAACCAAAGCATCTGGGACCCTATACTGGTTCTTTGCCCAGAATTCCTTCTTGATGCCTTTGCCAAGGTGTTGGGCTTCATATACATTGTTTATGAATGTAATACATAAACGACAGTCTATTTTCATGATTATGGCAAGGAACATTCTGATTTTGATTTTTTTTTTTAAAAAAAGAGGAAGCTGTGGGAACACCAAAAATAGAATTCAAATTAATACTGATACTGCTCTTTTATCCTGTGTTCTGAAAACATTCCTAGTTTCATACAACTGGTCCTCTATGCTGCCATCAATGCAGATTTCTAAGGCAGAATGTTTGTTAGTTTTGAGACACACATTGATCTACTTCATTCTACAAAGTCCTGATGATTATATAAAACTGAAAGAGAAGGGTCAGGTAGAAGGCAGCATCCAAAAACTCTAGCATGAGAATGAGATATTGACAGATTCTGCTTCCATGAATCGCACTATCCTCAGTTTGAAAGTTTTTTTAAAAAAAATCCCAAGGCAAACCTTGATTTTGCCATTTTATATAAGGGACACCATTTTGATATGCCAATATATATAAAGAAACTTGAGCATCCATTTTTTTTGGCATGCCTGCACAACATATGTCAGCACAAACCTTATGCTGAAAAGGTTAGTACGATAAGATGTGGCATCAAGATGAAAACATATGGGTAGACAATATGCAGGCATTAATGTGTTAAATTTGCTTAATTAGAATGCATACAATAAGAGTAATTGCAATAATTTGTGTAATACACAAATGTGATGCCCAGATTTGAGGGACTGCAACATGGGAATGTTCCAAAATAATTAATTTTCAGGCTCTGTTTCCAAGCTCCTCACATGTTGTGAGGTACAACTTCAGCTTGAAAGAGGAAACAGAGGGGTTTTTTAGCAGCCTCACAAGTCCCTGTACAGTTTAAATGCCCCCATACCAGGTCCTACTCATCTTCCTGAATTTGGAATTTACAGCACTTTGTAGACAAGATTAATACCTGCTTTCCATTGACAAGTCGACAAATGGGCAGATTGACATCTTTTGTTTCTCAATTCTCCTATTTATAGCAAAGTAGACAGGAGAAATTAGTAAGTTAGGAGGAGGTCTGGAGTCTTTGCATCAGATGTGGGAACCCTACAGTTCTGCATGGAAGTTCATCTTAGCCCTCTTGTGCTTATCCGTTTAGGGCAGAAAGGACTTCCAGTTGGTGGCATGAGGAATACCATATTCTTCATCTATGTTACAAAGTTGTTATGAATAAGTGTGATAATGTGTGTGAATTTTCAAAGTACAAGCAATAATACTTTTGTGGTGGTGATAGATATAGAAGCCATAACCCTCTATTTAAACTATGAATAGGGGCACATCTAGACAGCCACTTTATTGTGGAAACTTCCACAATAAAAATTGGCCTGCCCAGACGATGTCCTGGATAAACCCGAATTAATCTGCCACAAACCAGGGAAACTCTGGTTTGTGGCGAATTCATTTGATAGTGGGTTTATTCCACACCTTCTTGGAAGGTGCAGGATAAACACACTACTTCCCATGTCTGGACTGCAGTCCAAACAGTATTCCCATGCTTTTCCAGGCTAAATTAGCTCAGAAAACTGTGGGAATACCAACCCCTCCCCAAAGGATCCTAAAAACAAAGTAAAACAAGAAAAGAACCCACCTGACCTCCATGAGATGGCTACCAGAGTTCTCCTGGTATGAACAAATGATACATCAGGAGAAGGGGGGAGGAGGAAAATCTCTCCTGCCCCTCCCCTTTCTCCTGGAGCATCATTTGCATGCACCAGGAGGACTCTGGTAGCCGTCTCATGGAGGCCAGATGAGTTCTAATTTTTTTACTGTTTTGGGGGGCTTCTGGGGAGGGGGTTACAGTGTCCTGGTGTTCTCTCAGGCAGTCCCAGAAGAACATATGGACACCCAGCCCATAAAGCGCACTTTCTGGAGTGTGTGTAGATGAGCCCCCAGGAACATCCATGTTTTTTAAACATGGGTGCTCCTGGGATATCGGCCTGTCTGGAAAGGCCCAAGGAATTATGTGGTCCTTCAGATTATGCTGGACAGCTGCTCTTAGCATTCCTCACCATTGCTTATACTACAGTGGTTCTCAACCTGTGGCTTGATATTTTGACCTTCAACTCCCATAAATCCTAACAGCTGGTAAACTGGCTGGGTTGTAGGCCAAAACACCTGGGGACTCACAGGTTAAGAACCACTGCCATCCTAGTTAGAGGTAATAGAGTAGTAGAGGGCCAATATTTGGAGAGTCATATGATTCCCACGCTTGAAAGAAACCATGATGGAAGAGTCCAACATAGTGCATGTATAGTCAGGGCTATACTCTGCCTGGACAGGGATGAGCTTTACCATTACACAGAGTAAAGAGACTATCTTGGGCAACCAGTTTAGGGTGTCATGAAAGAGCAGCAAACTGCTGACTATTTAATTCACAATTATTGCAATAGTGAGTGAGCTGGGAGGCTCTTGCAGGATAATCTGCCTTGGATGTTAAAATAACTACCCTGGGCTCGGCCCCTCTGCCTTTTCACTTGGAGGATGATGGGACACTGCTGTGAGCCTGAAACATCAAAGTGTCTCAGTCTGGCTTTGCCACAGCCATGTGAATTAAGCTGGAAGTATATGTTGTTCCTGCCATGATTCTATCTTATTGTACATGACACTTTTGCACATATACCCCAGAGAGAGAAATTGTGCTAGAAACCACAAATGCAATATTGATTTGCACATAACCATGTGTGTGACCTCACACAGCTGAGGTTGTGGTATTGGTATCTTACCCAAGACTACATGTTAGAAAAAGAGAGCAGGGAAAAAGCCACACAGATATAGCTCCTTTGTTTTTAGAACACAAATACATAAATTTTTAATCTGAGAAAAATACAAAATGAAACCATGTACAAGTTATGTACAAACCCTTTTTACAAGACAATAGATTTATCACTGGATATTACATATGACAAAGTCAGGTAGATCATTTCTGAGCACCAGCATTTGCGCTCTCTCTCTCATTCTCTCTTTCCAAACCTTAGTCACACAAAAGAAACCATAAAAAAAAAGAAAAGAAAGGATGAAACCACACTCCTTTTTCTTGATGAACTTTTGAGTTAATGCCCCAGGCGTTTTCTATTGTCCCTTTGGGAGAAACAGCTGGATAAGACAGATGCCTCTGTAAGTTATAGTGTCATATTAGTTTCTGTGCTGGGAGTGTGGAGAAAGTAGGTAGGCCACCTTTAATGGTTCATAAGATTTCTAAACTTAATTGCAGGGTTTTCATGGCAGGCACTTTAAAATTCACAGACTTGTATGCCCAGGGCACTATCCAAAAATAATATAGATATATAGATATAGATATTAAAAATTGCATTTAAAATATATCTCAGATCATCTGAAGACCACCTCTCAAACTCCGAGGGCTTCTCTTGAATGCTTTCCCTCCTTACAAATTCTCTTTAAATTGTATTAAAATAAAAATCTAATGTTTCTTCTTAAATTTTAGTTATATGAATGCATTTTTTCCTTCCATTTTAGAAAGCCTCTAGATCAGAAATAAGGGATAGAGGATAGATGAAAGATGTAACAACAGCCATCACAAAACAATATGAAATTTTGCTTTCTCACAAATCCAGTGGAAGTGTGTTTGGGTGATCAGTGCATAGAGAATGCATTGCTGCCAGGGTTGAATGTGCCCCTGGGATGGCACTTCAGCATGGACCCCTCATTCAGTTGAGGGAGGCATCCTGCCAAAGTTAGCACAACTAAACTGGCTTAAGAATGCTTCACTGCCTTCATGGTGGAGCGCCACTTGCATGCAGGGTTGCCAGAGCAGATGTCCAAGAAGCAAGAAAACACTTTGAACGTGAAAGAGGAAACATTCATGGAATCTGTGGATATTGGGAAAGCAAAGAAAATCAGTTGTTCTGATTCAGCAAAGGTGACATGGGCATGGATATCAGTCCCACATGCAGACCATTTGTATGTACATCTATGATATGTTCTATGGAGCTGTGATGTTTGATAATACAGGAGAGCCGGTGAGCTTGGCAGCTGCATGCCACAAAATGGAGCCCTTAAATAGATGCTACTGTGTGGTGTTCTGTTGTGTCTGAAGACCATGTTCGGTATTCAGAAGGGTAACATGGCTGGTCTTGCCCTGGCAGACCATGTCAGGAATGCTGAGTTGCGAATGCATGGATCATTAACCCACTTGTAAGTTATTGCTCTTGTCATGTGACAAATTATGCAGCTTATTATTGCAAAAAGTATTTAAGCGTGTGTTTCTGCAACTAAAGCCCTCGGGTTAATCCATTTGGTTTTCCTCTCCGGGGCACCCATACATGAGTCATAGTGAGAAGCTAATACCATTCTCAGAATTTTCTTGAACTTATAGTGAAAGCTTTCTGTAATTGTCTTCTCTGTCACCACTAAAGTATGTGCTTGAGGGAATAATGTTCACCTCTCCGTGATGCGTTTGCTTTGTTCTGCCTCCTTAACATGAAAAAGAAAAAAAATGCTCAAGGATTAAGCCTGCATGTGGCGAAGTCGGGAAGAAGATATTAGAAAGTAATCTAAGCGCCTTCATCCTTACTTGCAATTTTCCCCATTAGGTCTGCAAGGCAAATTGTACAAACTACTTTATTTCTCACAACTATAGCCATTTTCTCTAGTTATAGTATGGCTAACTCTTCAACGTACAATGCAACATCTCATAATATGTTCTTCACTAGCAGAGGAAGAAAGGATGGGGAGCAGAGATACTGACTCCTAACAGGCCTGAGGATTTGTGATTTTGTAGTGAGTGTTAGTGACTTGGAGGGCTCTACAAGGGGATTAAATTACTACATGGGGAATAAGGCGAGCAGTAGCTACCAGTTATGATGTCTAAATACTTCTTTCAGTGCTAGAGGAATGACGCCTCTGAATATCAGTTGGTGAAGTGGGAAAGTGCTACATGTATTAACTTTGCATTTTTTTGGTTTCCCATAAGCGTCTGTTGGCCATTTTAGAAACCTTTCTGAACTAAATAGGTATTTGTCCTGATCAAATTTAGCTCTTATTGTGTTCTTATCTTCTAAAGGGCCTTCCTTTCTGGTTTTTCTGGAAAGTGCGACATCTCATAATGACTTCTTCACTAGCAAAGGAATGGCTTGAGTACTGGAAAAGGTGGAGAATAAGACAAGAAAATTCTGGGACCATAGGAGTAGGAGATAGTATCATTTTGAAATATGTAATAATAATAATAATAATAATAATAATAATAATAATAATAATAATAATAAGCACAATACTCCTGACCTCACAATCATGTAAAAAAACAAAATATGGATTGTCGATGTTGCAATCCCAGGTGACAGCAGGATTGAAGGGAAACAACTGGAAAAGCTGACACGATATGAGGATATAAAGAACTGCAAAGATTCTGGCACAAGCCAGTCAATGTGGTCCCAGTAGTGATTGGCACACTGGGTGCAGTGCCTAAAGACCTTGGCCTGCACTTAAACACAATCGGCGCTGACAAGATTACCATCTGCCAGCTGCAAAAAGGCCACCTTACTGGGATCTGCACACATTATTTGCCGATACATCACACAGTCCTAGACACTTGGGAGGTGTCTGACGTGTGATCCAGTACAACAGCCAGCAGAGTGTCTGCTGTGGACTCATCTTGTTGTATTTCAAATAATAATAATAATGACAACAACAACTACTACTACTACTTTGGGGGACTAGGCGGGGTTTTACAAAGGCCTGCTTTTCCATTACAACTCTTGGGTTTGGCAATGGGAGATATTAATAATAATAACTTTGGGGCCACTGACCTTATTATAAGTCTCGCGACCTGCAAGTGGGCCATGGCCCATGGGTTCGGAACCACTGATTTAATGGATCAAGTCTTGTCTATTTTTGTGAATGTTATATTTTTTCAAAAATATACAAGCATCTTATCCATTGCTAGTTATAGGCGAGGACAAGAGAGCAATCAGCGTATGGAAAACTTTCCTTCAGTCCATGCCTATCTATTCAGTCCAACTGGCTACACATTTCCAACAGCGATTGCCTATACTTTCATAACATAAAAGGCTGACATACTGTTTTCAATAATATTAAAAACAAGTAAGATTCTATTTTCTAGAAATGGTTAATCTGCATGAGGAATATCAGATTTTGCATTTTTCTCAGCTCACAGAATGTTGACATACGCACTGACCTAAACGTATTGATTCCCTCGAAGCCATGAGCAACCATGAGAAGAGTAAGAAAGCTTCCACTATAATCCCAATCCATAGGTTCAAAAATGTGTTTATATACTTGGACCAACTGATATACATCTTAATGGCTAACTTGGGAGGATCATGGTCTGTTATTTTAGTAAAGTATTACACTTCACTGTTACCAATGGTTCTGCTGTGGCCATTCTAAGAAAAGGTTCAAAATTAAGAGAAGTGGGTTATAACTTGATTATATAATTTTCTAGTGTGCTAGGATTGAAATTTAATGAATTCTCTTGGGATTGAGGCATATTGTACTTTTGTCTTGTGCAGTTCATGAATGAAAAAGGAGTATAGACTCGGGTGCAATCCCATGTGCTTTGGTACCACCTCCGTTGGGTCGCCGTTGGGCCTTCCCATACATGCTAGAGGGATTGTGCCCTTTGGAAAAATAATTTTAAATAACTTAATGCAAAATCCAGAATACAAATTGCACCCTGCCCATAGATTTACAATAATACCATCTCCAAAGACGAGAGCCCCCTTAGATTTGGGGCATTGTGATATGTGTAAATAAAACTGTTGTTCATTTGCTAGTTTTTAGTGGTGAAATAAGTACTTTTGAGAAACAATCCAATTTTCATACATTATATTCACAGTTGTTACTTTTTTCCTCTTTGAATAACTAATTCTACAAAACATAATGACAAAGTAGTCACAGTCCAAGAAGTCACTCTGGAATTAAGCCTATTAGGTGTAAGTATGAATATATTTGTACTGCAGCCAGTAGACAAACATTAAAGCTGAGATAGTTTTAGCATAAAATATTGGGTTATATAGTGGACACCTTTATCTGCTCAGGACTTGTTTGATTCACTGATATTACTCTAATGATAACGATATCACAGAATGTTGAATCTCAGCAGTTTTTACAACTTTGCACAATCACAAAGCCTAAAATTAGCTTGTGTACTGGGAGCCAATGTCATCTTTTCTCTCAGCCTTATTGCCTTCTTCCCTTCCGGAGGTCATCTGCCCCAGTTCAATCTAGATCAGCAGTAGATAATTTAAACTGGAGAGAGGTGCTAAATTATTTAGAGCCTCAAATGCTGGGGTTACTATATACTGCAGCACAGATATGAAACGTCACAATTTTGTCGGATGACTAGAAAAGCTTACTGGCCATTTTGTGAAGAAGAAGAAGAAAGAAGAAGAGGAGGAGGAGGAGAAAGAGGAGGAGGAAGAAAGAAATCTCTGAGTGAGCTTGTAGGTCTTTTCTAAAGGCCTTGTTATATTAAATACATTCATTATTTTCTGTTACTACATTTACACTTGTTTTGGTGTAAACCTTATGGGGCAGAGTCCCAAAAGCTTGGAAATTTAATGTTGATTTCTAACACCTAAAAAGAGAAGACAGAAATTAGGTGGCCGCAGGCATAGCATGAGCAAGATCTGAACCACAGTGTTTGAATCACAGTTAGAGCTCACCTAATATCTGGCAATATTACAATTGAGAGGCTGGATTTATCCGTTACCAGCATGAAAGGCCATTGGCAAATTGTGATATGGAAACTACATTTGTCACTTTGTAGGGAGCAATTCTGGAGGCCGACTCAAAGCCAGTGCCAGCCTTTCTTCAGCTAAACATAGATCATAGAGTAAAGGATCGTGACTGACTATTTATCGACTTCTTTGTGTACAGGATTGGATGAAAGTCCTTGGTGAGAAACATTAGATGTTCATGGTTGACTCCTGCACATTGAAATGTATCGGTAACATACAATATGAAGCATAGAAAGAAAGCAGCCTCACCTGTACAACATTCTGGAAGTTACCATAACTAGCATATTGACTATGCATTGTGTTTTTGTTTTATGCTAATGTTTACTACCTTATTGCCACTGGCTGTTACCCATTTATGCTATATTGGATCTTATAATTACCTGTAAGGAAGTTGCTCTGTATGAACATCTGCAGTAGCTATGGTGTTAAACAGATGCATAATTTCAGAATAAAGTTAATTCTACAAAAATATGACGTTTCCACTTTTTTTTTCAAAATAAATATGCTTCAGTTTATTAAGAGCTGGTGTCAATGCTAAACAAAATACACGTCTTCCAGGAAAGAAACATTCTAGTAAACTCTTCTTTGCGTCGTCTTCTTTGATTTACTAAAATACAAGTGGAACTTTTCTTTTAAAATACATTTGTCTCTCTTAATTACATTTTTGCTTTTCGAGTTGTGGCCATCATTCTCCTGAAAGACACAGGAATATAGAATTTCTCTCTTTCTTTCCTTCTTTCTTTCGTTCTTTCTTTCTCGGAGTCTGGCCACATATGCAGCTGTTTTGTTAAGGGAAAATACTTGACAATGAAATAAAGAAAAAATATATTTTCTTTCTAATAAATAAAAATAATTTAAAACGCTAGAGGCTATACATGACTGCTTTGATTATGTTCTTTTATAAATGAAATAAGTTTCCAAAATACATGGAAGCAAATATTAAAGGCAGACAAACAAAAATCTGTCTACTTTGCTTTCTGGCAAACACTTGCCTCTGTAACTTTTTCCACCAGTGGTTCAGGATGAAAGAGGAATAAATGTCACATCACCATTCATGAAGTCTCTCAGTTTTTTTTCTTTTTTTAAAAAAATGTTCTGGCCTTCTGTGAGTCAACATTCATCTTCAACTTCTCTGATTGGTGGTATCAAGCTGCTTGTAGACTTATACTGATTGATCTGATTGGCCATGTGTGTGCTCATGGGCTTGATTTGAATGTTTCTGGGGTAGGCATTTTCTGGCTCATCTGTAAACCATTTCTTTTCTGCTGAAGAGCGACATGAATAGAGAGACAGAACAAGGGAGGAGGAAAATGAAAAATGTAATTAGTGCCATGCCAACAGCAGTTCAGAAAAGTGCATTTAAGCTACAAAACCCAAAATCAATACCAAGTGACTTTGCATAATGGCAAGCAGTGAAGAGCTGAAGACTTCATAAACTGGAAAACACTGGTTAGAAGAAAGAATGAAAAGTTTGCAGGTTTGAAAGCAAAGGGTTAAAAAGAAGTGTCCCAATGTTGGCTTATTTATGGAAGGTGCCCAGGATCTTTAACGCATAATTTAGGGAGTACTGTTCTCTCTTTGTATGTGATTAGTGAAGTGCTAAGTTTTTAGGTTAGTTTAAATCAGCGTTTCTCAACCTGGGGGTCGGGACTCCTGGGAGGTGGGTCATGACGGGGTGTCAGGGGGTCACCAAAGACCATCAGAAAACACAGCATTTTCTGTTGGTTATGGGGGTTCTGTGTGGGAAGTTTGGCCCAATTCTTTCATTGGTGGGGTTCAGAATGCTTGATTGTAGGTCAGCAATTACAACTCCCAAATGTCAAGGTCTATTTTCCCCAAAACTCCACCAGTGATGGCATTTGGGCATATGGGGTATCCATGCCAAGTTTGTTTGAGTCCTCAGTGCTCTCTGACTATAGGTGAACTACAACTCCAAAACTCAAGGTCAATGCCCACCAAACCCTTCCAGTATTTTCTGCTGGTAATAGAAGTTCTATATGCCAAGTTTGGTTCAATTCCATCACTGGTGGAGTTCAGAATGCCCTTTGATTATAGGTGAACTATGAATCACAGTAACTCCAGTCTCAAATGACAAAATCAACCCTCCCCCCAACCCCACCAGTATTAAAATTCAGGCGTATTGGGTATCTGTGACAAATTTGGTCCAGTGAATCAAAATATATCCTGCCTATCAGATATTTACATGAAGATTCATAACAGTAGCAAAATTACAGTTATGAAGTAGCAATGAAAATAATGTTATTTTGGGGGGGGGGGGTGTCACCAAAACATGAGGAACCATACTAAGTGGTCCCGGAATTAGGAAGGTTGAGAAACACTGGTTTAAATTAGATGGATTTGCCATGATGCGTTTTCCTGGAAAATCTCCATTGTGAATGTTGATGTCAAGTAATGTCTGAACATTTTCTTACAGCTTGAACTGAATGGAGCAGAAAAATTAACACTGAGACTCCTATTTCAAATGTAACTTCTGTAGTTTGAAGTACAAATTGCATGTACAAGGAGGGGAGGGTGAAAGTGGGAAAAACCAATAAAACAATTTTAAAAATCTTTTTCCTACAGCTGAACTGAATGTACCCAGATTCCTCAACTTAGTGATTAAAAATATGGGTACTGTTCCATTAACTGGGCAGACTCCAAAAGGGGGTCTAGACAGAGGACAGTCCATTTTATAGGGGGGAGGGGGTGAGTTAAAGGAAGAAAAAAACCAATTTCACCCATTTTCACTGGTTATTTTCTCTCCCCACTTCCCATTTCATAAACGGGGGTTGTTTCTATGATGGTGACATGGGTGGGGGGAATAATAGGAAAATGGGGAAATGGTTTTACTTCTTCAAGCCCCTCTCATCCCATAAAATGGACTATCCTTCTCTGTCTAGTGTCCCCTTTTGGCTTCTGCCCAGATAATGGAACAGTACCAAAATACATATTTTGAAATGAAGTACTTTTAAAATTGAAGCTCTAAACATGAATTCTACATGAACTCGAATTCGTGCAGGATGGGTTGATCAAAGATCTCACTATGACACAAGGAGTGTGGCTGAGATGATATCCCTGTAAACTGTGAAAAGGTGTGACTAATATTGTTAGGAGATATCAGATGTTTGAGTTTTCATTAAATGAGGTTAATGTTCCTGCAATAGCTCTGGTCAATACATCCACTTTTCAAACATAGCCACTAAATGTGCCCCTGATTTCCTCACTGACCCACCTACCTAAAGTTTTCCACAAATAGATAGATTTCAGTTGGACTCCTCATGAGGTTTTACACTGAATGAAATATTTAAATAAATTTCCGGGATGGCATCCTATTCTATTTTATATAAATAATAAATTTATATAATAATACATTTAATTTAATAAAATATTCTATTTGTATATAATGAATAATAAGGTTTGCTTATTTTCCTATCTCTCTATGAGTTCTCCCTTACAATTAGTTCTGCCCCGTTATCTCACCCGGAGTTTTAAAATCATTTTATGTACATGCGGCCCACCCTTTGTCTTTCTCTTATTATGTTTGGTTCCTATGTTCTGTGTATATTGTTTTATATGCTTTAATGTTTTATATCTTGATGTTATGTTGTTTATTTTATTGCAATTTGTATTGCTATATTGTAATTCTTGTTCGGGCTTGGACCCATATAAGCCACTCCGAGTCCCCTTTGGGGAGATGGCAGCAGGGTATAAATAAAGTTTATTATTATATTATTATTATTTTATGATTATACTCAAACACACACACACATGATACACAAAGGAATTATTACTGAACCCTGCTGTGGGTGTATATTGATATTATTTAGGACGTAGACCTGTTTCAATTGAGAGTGCCCCCCCCCCATTGCTATTAGGTGCCCAAATTCAGTTAGAAGCATAGGTAATAATTACATTCTTCTTGCAGCTTGTCAAATGCCATGTTACACAATTTATGAAAATATTTTACTGAACTTTTTTTTATATAAAGGGGAGGTATCCTGCAAATCAACGAAGTGAATGCCATTTTTCTTTCACTTGAAATATTCCAAGTTTCCCTCCACAAGGAAGCCTATGTGATTCTGAACCAGGTTTTTCACTCTCTAATTAAGTTTGCTCTGATTTGAACAGATTGGCCGATAGGAATTCATAATGTTAAATCTTGCACAGCGAAGCTAACTGATTAAGTGCCTTAAATTATTCTTCCTGACAAAATGATAAAGTTACAATCTGTTCTAAGATGATCTACAGCTTGCCAGACTCCTACAGCTTCCTTCTATATTCATTTATCTTTTTTGTCAAGCTGGGTTTTACACATATTTAGCCATAGATCTTTTAAAGTCATCAGAACATCTGAATTGTTAATGAGGCTCTAAGGGAAAGGCTGCTGATGGGCTGGTTTCAGAAAGGTTGTAGGGAACGGAGCCTGGGAAATGTGTACACATCAAAATAATTTCAGCTCCATTTAAAAACCATTTAGTTCAAGTGTGACACATGAACCATTATGCATTTGAGGAAACCAATTTTGCGTGATCTACAGTTAAACTAACCTTTCAGAGAGGTGTTAAAATGTGATGGTTCTCATGTTTTAAAAGCCTCACAAGATCACACAAACAATTTCGAACTAACAGTTATTCAAATGCTTTGTATTTAAATGATTTTTGCAGAGAGGTTAAGACTGTATACTTTTTATCTCTTGTCTCTTTTACCATTAGCATTTGTCAGGCATACTTGCTTTTCAAACTTTGCTTTAGATGGGGGAGAACTTGGAGAAAGAGACTTGAAGTCTGGGAGTATCTGAAAAAGGAAATGATGTTGCATCTTGAGCCAGCGGGAGGAAATGGGCATGCCAAACAACGGCTCTTTGCACATTTCTCTGTACTGAAATGCCTCATCCTCCAAACGTGCTCTTTGCTGTCTTTGCAGGGAGAGACAACTAGGTTTCAGAGCTTCAGCCTGAGGAAATATGCCTGAGACATCCCTTTGGTCTTGTTTCCTCCTGCTGGAACAGAGTCTTCCATTGATATCTGTCTTGGGGAAGGAACAGAAGCTGCTCTGAGGGAGACTAATGGTGGCTCTCCAGTCTTTCATTTGAGAGGAAAGCCTTCCAAAGATCATTTGCTGAGATTGTCAATGTTCTGTTGTACACACACACTGACAAGGTCTTTTCCCAAAGGAGATAATCAATACCCCCTCATGTGATAATTTTATGCTTATGTTGTTTTGTTAATTTTATGTTATGCTGTTTACTTTGTATGTTTTGGTGATGTTACTTGGAAACCGCCCTGAGTCCTCCTTGGGGAGACAGAGCAGTATATAAATAAATTATTATTATTATTATTATTATTATTATTATTATTATTATTATTACTATTACTATTATTATTATTATTGAATAGTTCCATTAGAGCGTAACAGAACTTTGAACACCACAGCACAAAATCAGTGAACAGGGAGCTTTTGCTCACCCAAATAGCCAGTGAATAATCAAGCTTCTCCTTCAACTTTAGTAATGTTACTGGAGCTTCCTATGACTCATCAGAGAACTGGGAGTATTACATTTGTAGTTTACTTCTAGTTGTAGAAATGCAGTCAGAAACTGCCCGTTTACTAGGTTCTTGTGGGTTTTTTCGGGCTATATGGCCATGTTCTAGAGGCATTTTCTCCTGACGTTTCACTTGCATCTATGGCAAGCATCCTCAGAGGTAGTGACCTCACCTCACTACCTCTGAGGATGCTTGCCATAGATGCAGGCGAAACGTCAGGAGAAAATGCCTCTAGAACATGGCCATATAGCAAAAAAAACCCCACAAGAACCTAGTGATTCCAGCCATGAAAGCCTTCGACAATACATTGCCTGTATACTCCCTGTCCTCTCATGGCCATTAATTTGAGGGCTTCCCAACCATGAAAAAACTGGTGCATTGGGGGATTAAGAAGTCCAAGGGAAGTGTGGTTTCTGTTGTGTTTGTTTAAAATATCTTGGGTGCTTGAGCCCAAACTCAGATTTTCTTTTCATCAACACTACTAAGGCTGGAATCCTGTTGTTAGACAATGGCGATGTAACTACTCAAGGGGGCAGCAGTGGCTGCTGGAGGGGAAAAGCCAAGAGTGCAGTGACAATAAAGGAAGGCAGATCCTGGAGATATAGGCTACTGACTCAGACATCTGATTTTGCCTGTCTCCCCTCGCTACCACAGCACATGCCTGGAAAAAGTGCACTTACTAACATGCGGTTCCAACAGGAGTCTAGTTGAAATGTCCAAGA